CACACACAGTAAAATCTAGTTTTCCATGTTGACGCTCTAATGTCCTTTGGGAATAAAGCGCAGGGATGTCCTGGTTAGTTTTGATTGATCACCCTCTTTCTGATGGGCTTTCACTACCAAGCCAGGAGGCTGAAACTCACCGCCTGCTCCCCAGACACAGCATTAACCAGGGGTGCATTGACTTCCTGCCTCTTCTCCCCAATCTGCTTCCTCTTTCTCTAGCTCTCTGCCCTCCCTTTGCCAAGCCCCCCTCCTCACTCCATCCCCTGCTCTCAGCATGAGTCCCCCACCCCCCCAAACCCAGGCAGGCACACACAGTCCTGAACATCACCACCAGCTACAGAAGGGGGTTTCTTCCCCTCTAGTCCTGATTCTCTGAAGAAAAAGAAGAAAAAGAAGAAGAAGAAGAAAAGTCTAAACAAGAAATATTCATATTCTGCATGCTTAATAATCACTTCTTTTCCAAGGCTTTTTCCCCCTCATGTTCACAATTAAAATTAATAGCACTCTCTTCCTCACCCACCCAAAAAAGTAAAGTGCCTTGCTGTGTGTGGCTCTTTGGAACGAGTCCATAGTTCTACGCAATATTTTAGCAGGGTTGGATTTTTTTACTCCCCCCTCAACGTACTTTCCCTTCCCTCCTCAGACAGTTGCTCTGTGAACCCTCTCCTCCCAAGCAATGAAAATGAGCTCCCAAACCTACAAGAATATAAATAAATAGACCAGAAAGGAAGGAGAGAAAAAGGAAAGCAAGGAAAGAAAATGAAAAACACTTACCGAGCAAACTTCCAAGGTTAGATTTTTTAAAAAATAAAAGAATTTTTTTTTGTTTTTGTTTTTGTTTTCAAATAAGGTGCCTTGGGGGGTGGAGGGAAAGGCATATTCTCAACTCTCCAGAACCGATGCATCCTTAGCCTTCCCTTTACACTGACTCCTCTAAGCCCAGCTCTCACTAGTCTATTATTTTCACCAAAATATATGAAAATGTATGCAAATGAAAATCAGCACTAACTGTTCTCCCCTTGTTATATACTTTGGATTTTTTTTTTCCAGACAAAACAATCACACTACGCAAAGGGAGGGGGTGGATGGGGTGGGGTGGGGCGGGGGTGGGAGGCTGGGGAACGATTCGAGAACTAAGTACGTGGAAAGGGGGGAGTAAGAAGGGGACAGACCTCGGAACAGAAGTGCATTTCTGTTATCGAGGAGCACTGCGTTTTGGGGGGCTTCCCATAAGCATACACACCCTCCTTGCAAAGAAAGAAAGAAAGTGGATCTGTTTGCAGAGGCGCTATCACGTTTCATCAGGCCACCTGAGACTGCTTTTGAAAGCGTGTACTGTGAAATTCATAGCAGTAATTTAGACAAAATCCTCACTGTATATTAATGAAAGGCGGCCCCATGGCTCTGTTCCTATCCTCCCCATTCAGTGTAAACAAAACCACGAGACTCTCTCGGTTTTTGAGCCGGATCCAAGCAAAATCGGCAGGAAAGGAAAACACGGGGTGCTGGCACTGACTATTCAAACGTCTGCACCTGGAGATCTCAGATTTATTCAATGAAATCTGTGTTCCATCTTTTATATATACATATACGCATACATAAATATAAAAAGGGACCTTTGGGGGACGCAGAGGGGAAAAAAAATCCGTTCTGTTTGGGGTTTGGTTACCACTGCCTTTTAGATCTATACCTTGACAATAATGGCTTTGCTACAACCTACCTACGATGGTATCTTTTCACCCGGCAAGCAGGAGCTGGACGAGATCCTACACAAATTCTACGCATCTACTGTTAATCTTGAGATCACGCAGAGGCTACGTTGCTGCTGCTGGACTGGAGAGCTCCGGCTTTAACTGAGTTTACCTAACTGCACTCGGCAGAGGAATTGTGCATCGGGAGAGAAGGGCAGACCCGTTCACATTATAATCGGAGCACACCGACTACTCCAAAGCTACGTCCTGGGCCGCGGCTGGGTCTCGGGACTGCAGGCTGCAGGGCTGGCGCACCCACAGCTGGGGGTGCTGGGTGCACGCACACGCACACTCATTAGGAACCATGTATTTATTGAATGTCCGAATTGGGTTAGTTCATTGGAAATCCCCGAGGAGGGTTCAATTTGCCCTTGTTTTCGTTGCCACTTTCTCTTTTTTCTTGGTTCGCTGAGGTTCCTCTGTGCAGCGTTTCCGCTTGGCCGCGTCCCCCCACTCCACCCCACCCCACCCCCGCTTCTCCCGCCTACCCCGAGTACTCCCCCTCCCATCTCCCTTAACTCTTTCTGCCGGGCTGGGACTGAGAAAGCATTTGTAGCCGCCGGTCCCATCTACCACGCAAAACCATCCGAGACGCAAAAGAAAGAAAAAAGCACCATCATGCCTAAGAATAGCAAGGGAGCAAAACCCCACCACTAATAATAATCACACTGAAATCACACGCGCGCGCGCGCACACACACACACACACACACACACACACATATGCACACACAGTACGCGGTGGAGCGCTGGAGGGCGCGGCTAGTGGATCCCAGATCTTTGGGCCGACTCCTGCTGCCACAGGAATTCTAAAGGCATTGGGGTCGAATACACTTACGATGAATCTATGGGGGAAGGTCGGAATGATTGCTTTTCAAATACATCGCGTGGCTCCGCTGACCGGCACCCTCCAAACTCACAAGGGCACGCACGTTACTTGCATGAATCCCAGAGGAGGGTGGGTGGGAGGGAGGGAGGGAGAAGGAGAGAGGGAGAGGGGGTGGGGAAGAGCGCTAGCAGCGGCAGCGAGCGGTCCGTCTCGCACGCGCGGGCACCGCGCTGGTCCTGGGCTGCAGGTTTTCCCAGATGATGGCATCCGAGAACTTAAACAAAGAAGGCCGCCGCCGGCGCGCGGCGGCTGCAGAAAGTTGCGGTGGCGGATTTCCAAGGAGCGTGGCCACGACCCGAGCTCTCGGTGAGGCGAGCCCCCCCTTCCCACCCCCGCCGAGACGAGGATGGGGGCCGGCTGGTGAAGGGAAGAGGAAACTTTGAAACCACTGGGGACACATCTGTCTATAGGTATTATCTTGAATGGTACATCCGTGCCGCGCGCTTTACAAATCTCTGACGTGGGGGCTGGAAGGCTGGGGGGGGGGGGTTGCAACACAACGCAATACTAGGTGGGATGCGTAGACTACTGTTTTTCGTGATTTTTTTTTTCCTCTTCGATTGCTTTTTGATTTGCCCCCCTCCCGCCTCATCCCTCCCTTTCTCTCCCCCCCCCCCCCCCCCACCCTAATCGTGAACGCCTAGAGCCTCCGAGGGAACGCCAACGTTTGGGCCGGACACTAAGAGTTAAGATGTGGCGGAGGGGGCGGAGGGGACGGAGGGGGAGGGGCAGGGAGGGGAAAGTGGCGAGGGGGAGGGAGACTGGGGGACGACAGATTTCCAGCTTCTACGACGCTCTGCCTAAATTAAAAAGCAACCAATCGGAACGGCCGGAAGGGGGGCCGCGCGTCCTGAGCCAGTCATTCCGGGCCTGCCAATCACCCAGCGGGTAGCCAATCAGCGGGGGCCCTGGTGCTCGACTTCCTTGTATTTGGGAAAGTGTGGTGGTGGGTGCGCGCTCGCGGCGGAGGGTAAACATTCTACAGTCCCTGCTCTGAGAGGGAGGGACAGAGAGAGAACTGTCAGATCGGAGCGAGAGCGGGCGCCCGAGAGAGGGAGAGCAGGAGAGAGAGAGAGGGAGGGAGAGGGGAAAGTGAGAGAGGGAGAGAGCGCGAACGAGGGCGCAGAGCAAGCTCCCGCTGCAACTCTGCTCCGGCACGGCCAGCGCCAGTGCCCGCCGTCGGTGCACTCTGGGAGCGGCGCAACGTGCCCACTGGAGTTGGTTGTGTATCAAGGATCCCCTATATGCACACACACACCTCCACCTCCACCAATGCACTCTTCTTCCTCCTCCTCCAGACAACTGCTGGGAAAATAATAAAACACCAACCCCAACCGTCAGCAACAAGGTAACAGAGCAATTCGACATCATTTTTTTTTCCTGTTCAATTTTTTTTCCTTGTTATATTTGTTTCCTAATTTCTGCCCAAAAGGAAAAATGTCGCATCAGACTGTGACTGTTGCGAGGAGAATGAAAAAGGACTCTTGTTTCAGAGGCAACCTAGAGCTCCGGCAATAGCAACTTCAGAGAAATGCACCATCGCAAGAAGTTTTCCTAGGACAGAACAAAACTTGAAACGACAGGACCAGAGGGGGAGAACAGGAGCCAGCCTCCCCTCTCCACACAGGAGAACAGCCAACATCACCACGCCTTCAAGGACGAGAAAAGTTTTACTACTCTAAGGCAGAACGAGTGAAGTGTGTTCCTGAGGAAGAGAGAAGACAGCGGACCAGGAAAGGAGCGGGCCGGTGGCTGGTTATCCATAATTTGGCCAAGGAAGAAAGGGACAGCTTCTTTCTTTGTTGTCTCCCTGAACCTTCACTTAGCAGGTGGACTGAGCCCCGCGGCAGGGCAGAGTCCGCGCTCGCCGGAGGACAGGAGGAGGAGCGGGTACCCGCGCGCCCCGGGAGAGCGCCCCAAGTACAGGTCCCCGCCCCGCCTGGTGAGCCCCGCTGGAGCCAGCCGAGCGCGCCGGGGTTGGGGGGTGGCCACGACCCCCCCTGAAAGGGCTGGCCACGGAGCGCGCCCCGAGAAGCGAGTACCCCTCCCCAGAGCGCTGCTCCTGCTGCTGCTGTTGCTGCTGACCAAGGCCGGCCGGCGACCCCCGCGCCCTGCCCAGCGGCCTTGCAGCTGCAGCCCGGGACCGCGGCGGCGGCGGCGGCGGCGGGGGCGGAGGCGGCGGAGGAGGAGGCGGCGGCGAAGGCGGCGGGGCCGGCGGGGGCCCGGGGCGGGGGCGGGGGAGGAGGAGCGGGGGGAGGAGGCGGGGGGGGCGCGGCGGCGGCGGCGGCGGCGGCGGCCGCGGCTGCTGCTGCGGCGGCGGCGGTGGTGGCGGCGGTGGGGTGGCGGGAGCGGAGCGGCATGGCCACGGCGGCTTCTAACCCCTACCTGCCGGGGAACAGCCTGCTCGCGGCCGGCTCCATTGTGCACTCGGATGCGGCAGGGGCCGGTGGCGGCGGAGGTGGCGGTGGCGGCGGTGGCGGGGGAGGTGCAGGGGGCGGCGGCGGCGGCATGCAGCCGGGGAGCGCCGCCGTGACCTCGGGCGCCTACCGGGGGGACCCGTCCTCGGTCAAGATGGTCCAGAGTGACTTCATGCAGGGGGCCATGGCCGCCAGCAACGGCGGCCATATGCTGAGCCACGCGCACCAGTGGGTCACGGCCCTGCCCCACGCCGCCGCCGCCGCCGCCGCTGCCGCCGCCGCCGCGGTAGAGGCGAGCTCGCCGTGGTCGGGCAGCGCGGTGGGTATGGCCGGCAGCCCCCAGCAGCCGCCGCAGCCGCCGCCGCCACCACCGCAGGGCCCCGACGTGAAGGGTGGCGCCGGGCGCGATGACCTGCACGCCGGCACAGCGCTGCACCACCGCGGGCCGCCGCACTTAGGACCCCCACCGCCGCCCCCGCATCAGGGCCACCCCGGGGGTTGGGGGGCTGCCGCTGCTGCAGCCGCCGCCGCTGCAGCCGCAGCCGCCGCCGCCCACCTCCCGTCCATGGCCGGGGGACAGCAACCACCACCTCAGAGTCTACTCTACTCGCAGCCCGGGGGCTTCACCGTGAACGGTATGCTGAGCGCACCCCCAGGGCCCGGAGGAGGCGGCGGCGGCGCAGGTGGCGGCGCCCAGAGCCTAGTGCACCCAGGGCTGGTGCGCGGGGACACACCGGAGCTGGCCGAACACCATCACCACCACCACCATCACGCACACCCGCACCCGCCGCACCCGCACCACGCGCAAGGACCCCCGCACCATGGTGGCGGCGGTGGCGCCGGGCCCGGACTCAACAGCCATGACCCGCACTCGGACGAGGACACACCAACGTCGGACGACCTGGAGCAATTCGCCAAGCAGTTTAAGCAGCGGCGCATCAAGCTGGGCTTCACGCAGGCGGACGTGGGGCTGGCGTTGGGCACGCTGTACGGCAACGTGTTCTCGCAGACCACCATCTGCCGTTTCGAGGCCCTGCAGCTAAGCTTCAAGAATATGTGCAAGCTCAAACCGCTGCTGAACAAGTGGCTGGAGGAGGCGGACTCGAGCACTGGCAGCCCCACCAGCATCGACAAGATCGCGGCCCAGGGCCGCAAGCGCAAGAAGCGGACCTCTATCGAGGTGAGCGTCAAGGGCGCGCTCGAGAGCCACTTCCTCAAGTGCCCCAAGCCCTCGGCGCAGGAGATCACCAACCTGGCCGACAGCCTGCAACTCGAGAAAGAGGTAGTGCGGGTCTGGTTCTGCAACCGGCGCCAGAAAGAGAAGCGCATGACACCGCCCGGGATCCAACAACAGACGCCGGACGACGTCTACTCGCAGGTAGGCACCGTGAGCGCCGACACCCCACCACCGCACCACGGGCTGCAGACGAGCGTGCAGTGAAGGCCAAGGGCGCAGTGCGAAGAGGGCCGCCGCCTCCGCCACCGCCTCCGCAGCCGCAGTCAGCACCGCCACCGCCCCCGCTGCCGCCGCCGCCGCCGCCGCCGCCGTCGTCGCCGTGCCGCCGCCACCACCACCGCTGCTGCCGCGCTGACCCTGCACCTGGGCCGCACCGGGCCCCAGCCTGGGTGCATCCGCCGCCCTCCCCTCCGCCCAAAGACAGACAGGCATGCCCGCCCTTGGAGGAAAAGACGAGGGAGAAACGGACCAAGGAGACATTTTTTGAAGTCCAAGGAAGGAGGGACCAAAAAATGAAAAAAAGCATAATAAATACCCAGACTGTTTTATATACACACATAACAAACAAAACCTGAAGAGGAAAAGGGGCAACCGTGAGATCCCGTCTGTGCTGTGGTGGTGTTTTGTTTTTTTATTTTAAAGAAGGGTGACTTTGCCTACAGCACCAAAACTGCACTCTTAAGGTGTACCCACCCTGAGATGTCCTACATGGCAGCGGTGGACAGCACCTGCCTCGGCCTCCTCTCTTAAAAAAGAGAGAGAAAGAGCCCCCGTCTTTCTTCCACTTCCTCCCAAAGGGCTGCCTAAGAGCTGCGCGGAAACTTTCCCTCCTCGGAGGGACCTGAAAGCAAGCACCAGATCTCCTCGGGGGTCTAACTCTGTGCTCCAGGACCCTGTTTTTTCTTGGCCATTTTAAAGTCGTTTGGGAAGTGGCAACTCAACGATGAAATGGGAAGGAGGGGGAAAAACAGTCTCGAGGCAAAGACAGATTCACAGCTTCTGAAATTAACAGACTGAATAGCAAAGCCAAAAGAAAGTATCCTCAAAGTAACCTTGGAAATAAAAGCAACGCGAAAGAGCCGAGGATGGGCGAGGGAGATCCGGACGTCCAGCCGCAAGTGGCCAGAGGCCCGGGGCTGGCTGAGTCCAGCGCGGTTGGGCTGACAGGGAGCGGAGGCCCAGCCTGCGAGGCTGCCCAGTGAGGCCCAGCCACCGACCCCGGCTTTGCCGGCAGCCGTTGGGGTGGACCATCATGCCTAAAGATTCCACCGCTAATATTTTTTTTATTAATATTTTTTATTTTTTATTTCTGGACTGACTCAGATAAAGGGATTTAGAAAGACTGAGCACCAGCCGCTGCACTTCTCTTGACTTCTGTCCTCAATCCGTTGCCAACTTTGATTGAATGGGTGCTGTGGATGTGATTATATAATACTGCCATTTCCAAGCAGTGTTTTTGGTAGGTTTTAATAAACAGACTTTTCAAAAGACGGCAATATAGAATTGTTAGATCCGTTGTTGATCTAAAAATATTTGCTTTATATTTTCATTAAATGACTTCTTTTAATATTTTATTCAGAATACTTATGAACTGCTGCAAAACGGTAATTTATTTTTCCCCAGATCTTGTATTACCTGTTTTTTTCAGACGAGCACAAATCAAAATGAAATGAAAATATGGACAGTTGTTAGGTAATAAGGGTATCTTTTGATGTGATCATTTGATTGTAATTTAATTTGAGTAGTGATTCCGTAAGAGCTGATCGAGAAAATAAATTTGTTAGAATGAAATAGTCTGTGTCTGATGCGTAAACACTGTGTGGGCAGAAAGAGAGTTCTCTAGAATTTTTTTTTTTTTTTTTTCACTTATACAAATCCTTAAGTTAAGGAAATAGCGCCTGTTCCACTTAAGGGCAAGTTTGGAAATTAAGAGTAAAGGCATTACTGAAACAGCTGGCATTTTAACATAGTGGTCATTCCTTGTTAATCTATAAATTTCACAATATTTTTCTCTCCCTTAATTTTACTGGGTGTCTTTAATGTTTTTTAGGTGAGATTATCTGTAAATGCTAGAGCCCTTTTCTTGAAGTTACCTGTGTTCTTTATTGAATGATTGGACTATATCACCAGTAAAAACGTGCCAACTGGTCATTAATGGTTAATATAGCCCTCCTGAGTTCAGCCTTTCCTTTTTCTTTCTACCCCCAACATATTAAATCTCTTCTCTTTTTCTGAAGACTAATAGTTGTAAAAAATAGCTTATAAATCTATAAAATATTTTGATATCAATTCCCATCACTATATGTAATTAAATTTAAATTATTGAGTTTTCCTGTTGTTTGAGGGTTGTTGTTTTTTTGCTTTGGGGGTTTTTTGTTTTTGTTTTTGTTTTTGTTTTTTTCATGTAATGAAAGAATATAGTTCCCAATCCCTGCTTTTGGTCCATACTGCAGACCATCTTTGTGTTAGCAGCTCAGACTTCTTTGAGTCAGTCTTTCCCCAGTGTGACTTCTTGTCTTCTTCACTGGTGCTGGGGATTTAGCTTTTGGGGTCACTTTTTAGGTAAACCCTGCAGAGTGATCACATCAAGTTAGTGTATCAATATTTCTAGTGTGGGAAAATGAAAGTAATGCCTTAGGTTGTGGGTACTAAAGATGCAGAGGCTCTACTGGGTTCACTCCCTATGTATTGGAGTTTGTTTGTTTGTTTAAGTACTCAAGGGTGAGAAAGCAATGATTTTATAGACCAGTTTCCCTCCATCTCACTTAACTGTCACTCACTCTTTGCCTACTTCTCTCATCTTCACTCCCTTTGCCTGTGATATCATCGATGTAGGGGTTAAAAAATCCCGGAAAACTGTGAGAGAAACAAGGAACAGTTATTTCTCTTAGACAGGCCCTGTGTCACTTTCATCAATCAAGCCCAGCCAGATGGCCATGTATTGGGTGGCATTATTTTAAACACCAAATCATACTAAAAATCACAATCATTTTGATTTGTGAAATCTGAAAAAGGCCATATTTATTGAACAGAGAATAGAAAAAAAAAAATGAAGACAGGGAACTACAATTTACTTTTCTTTGCCTCCCTGTTTCATTTCTCTTGCTATTGTAATGGCCCAGCCCAGGGAATCTGCAACCTGGAGTGGGGGTGGGGTGAAGTTCATCATTTTTTGAGGGTCTGGAGGGGTGAGCAAAGAAGGCCTCTCTGGAAAGCTGAGAATTGGGCAGGTCGTTTGCATGTGGTGTGCACTCCTGGCACATCAGATGGAATCCTGTTTTTTTTTTGTTGTTGTTGTTGTTGTTTTTTTCTGCTGGGATAGTGGTGCTTGATTAGACAGGGAGTGGGTCTATTTAAAATTTTAGGAGGTATCTTCTTACTTGATTTAGCTGACAACAAAAGAGCTAACATTAGATTTCACACTGTTTTCTATTAAAAAGCAACCTTTGCTGATTACTTTGGAAGAAGCCCTGATTTGGGGGTAGCAGAGTAACTTTTAATTGGAGAAGCTGGGCAAGCAAGTCCATTTGGTTTCATTATTTTGCATTTTATAAAGTGAGCTAATGCTTGGACTCTGTTGCATTTTTTTTTTTCTTAATCAACCTTTGAATGTATTTATAAAATGAAATTCATGGTTGAAACACAAAAGAGGGGAGATGTAACTGAGGTTTTGTGCTAAGGCTTATATTGTTACACATGTAAATAATGAAAATATTGTTATATATCACCAGATCTTTTTAATGAATTTGGTCATTGTGTTCCTTTGCAGCGCAAGTGTCTTGTGCTTCGTAAAAGTGCCCGTTTGTTTCCTCCATTTCAATCCATCCCCCACCTCCCCTTCCAACCCAAAGGAAAGTGACAAAGTTCTGTCCCATCAGACTGGCTAATCCCAAACCAGGCCCATTTATAGTTTACAGTACCCTGTGGCTCTTCATCAGTTGTCCAAGCTGTGGTCATCTCATTCACCCAACCATCTTCTCCTAGCAATCTGTGTGATAAATCATTCAAGGTGTGTTTTAAAATAGTCACTTTGCTCTTGTTGCCCTACCTTTTTTTCTTAGTACTTAGCCAAGGACTGTATTTCTTTGTTCCAAAATAGAACTGTCCATTATCAATCTTAGAGATTCCCTCCGATTCCCTGTAGTCTCCAGTGTTTGCTGATTACTATGCTCATAATCTGTTTTGTATGAATGGTTTTCAACATTCAGAGAGTAATTGGTTCTAATATCAAATGCAGTATATACTATTGATAGTTTTATCGATAAGTGTAATATTTTAAATAATTTTAACAATTAAATTTGTTTTTTAAATTATATATTTGTAAAGTATTTATCCTGTTGGAAGCAACAATATATTGTTGTATTTATTCGTTTATTTTTGTAATAAATGATCAACCTCTTCAAGCTAAATCAAAAAATGACACTTTTATATATCTATACAAAAGGCATTTTAAGAGATGGGCATATTTGTACCAATTTGTATGTAAATAGAGTAAGATCCATCAATAACTTGTAGCTTTCAGGACTAAATTGAAGGAAGAAACCTTCTCTCCACATGGAGTTTAGTTTGCCCAAGTTCCAGGGTAATTAATCAACTCTAAAATGGATGCAACAAGTATTGGCACTGAATGCAGACTTGAAATTACTTATTTAGAAAGTGGATCTGCTTTTTTTTTTTTTTAAGGGAGAAAGAAATTAAAGAATTTTCTTTTTGAATGAAATGCAGGTGGCTGACCCCCACCAATTAGAGCATATTCTATGTTTCAGTGATAACACCTAATACCTGACTGTGCTCAGAACTCTATGCTGGGAATAGGACTTGAAAGAGACTTGAGAGTTTGAGGTTATTGGTGACCAGGGGCAAGGCAATGTAGGAGAAAGAGTAGTGCCAGTTAAGAAACAAAAGAAAACAAAACAAAAACTCTTAAAATGACTGTGAGTGGAGAACCCCTTTCTCCTGTCCTGCTGCTGACAGCATAAGTAATCACTACAGGTGTTGCTCTTGTTCTTAGGAGTGAGGCATCTAAGAAGTGTGGGGGCTGCCTCTTCAGCCCTCCTAGTTTTGCGGGTTACTTGGTCATCTCCCTTCCTCGGGGCTGCTGGTCTCAGGGCCTGAAGGTCATCCACATGACCTCCTGGCTCCCGGAGCCCCATGGTAGGCTTGATCTTGATTTCAATAAGGAAATCGGAGGGCTCTGCTTTTAC